CGCCTCTTGTCCCTCTTACTATATGATCATGGGGAGTCGCCTCTTGTCCAACATACTTTAGGATCGTGGGTATTCGTCTCTAGTCCTTTTCGTCATGAGACATTATACTCACCTCTTGTCTTTCTATCACATGACATGGGTACTTGTCTTTTGTCTTTTACTTAGGATCATGGGTATTCACCTCTAGTCCACTCTAAGGAATATAGGCAATCGCCTGATATTCTTCTCATTAAAGGTCAAGGGTAATAGCCTCAATCATCATCTCATTCATAATTCCTTAGCTTAGATTCATTTTGAGTGAGCAATCCTTTCAACCTAGAATCATTCAATGTGATAAAGCCTTTCACATTCATACATAAGCAAATCAAGTGGAAATGATCCCTTCCACGACAATTACATCAATAATCAACAATTCATAACATATGCTTCACTCTCAAAGCAATCTATATCATAATCATCATATATGCTCTAATCTCAAAGAAATTCATAATGTACCTTATTCATCCTATAAGAATACACCTAAACCAATAAATTCTCCTTTCATAGATTAAAACCCATTTACATCAATTTCATCCTAGAAACATGGGTTAAGCATGGGTACATAGAAAATTCATCATGAAAAGCATAGAATCCTCTCAATTCATGCATAAACAATCATAATTCACTCAATTGGATCAACATTCATAAAGACCCACAACTTAGAAAAAAACTCTAACTCAAATTGGGAAATTTCTACTTTTCAATTGGGGAAACTTAGGTGCTCCATGGATGGAAGGATTTCATGGATGAATAAAGTTATCATACCTTTCTATCAAAGCCCACAAACAATTGAGGAATGGAGACTTGACCTTGAGTCCTAGCTTCAATCATTCTTCTTCTTCAAGTTCTAGAGAGAAAAATATTTTGGAGAGGATGAACCCAATTGCTTTTGGTGAATTTAATAGAATGATTTGAATGGGTTGAATTTGGGGTTAAAATCACTTATATAGGGGTCCTAGGCATAGGCAAAACAACATAGTATCAATATAAAATAATTAGTAAAAGACCCAACTACCCCTACCATTAACTGGCGAACCCATCATTGACGGACAACAACTGACGGACCGTGGATAGACTAACGGTCCGTCCCGCACGACCATCATTCGTGGTCAAAAAGTTAGAATTTGGGGTCATGGTCCATGGAACCTCAACCACGGATCACGGTCTAGCCGACGGTCCATTGGTGAGGCCGTGGTCTCATGGCTTTTGAACATACTGGGCGCCCAATCCATGGACCACACCTACGGTCCTTGTTTGGCCTCTGTGGCTGGCACCTGAAATTCCCAAAAAATTGCTATGTTGACCATTCTCGAATCCGAGGTGTTACACTCCATAACTTGCTAGATAGCCTTGTAATTTTATTACCTAAGCTATTATCTCTGAAGAAGCCGAAGCTCATGACATTGGCTCTCAAACTGGTACCTCTACTTCCTAAGTTATGACCTTAAAAGCCTTCTGAAGGGTAGGGGACTCAACCCTCCCTTGCACCTACTCAGTAGATGGAGCTCTAAACCCGACTGGGATTGCTTCTCTATCCTTAACTGTAGCTCCTCCTCTGGTCAATTCTTTATTGTGAGTCACAACAACAACAACTAGCACAGAAGATCGTCTCTAGCCTAACCTAATTTTGTTCTGACCATATGTGAGAGAAAAGAGAGAAAGAGTGTTAGATACCAATTTAGATCACCAGAAACCAATTTGAATCAAGTCAATTCTAATCAAGTAATAGCATGACAAAAAAAGTGAGTTTTTCTAATATCAAATATCCTTTTGATGAGTAGTATAGATATTTTCATGTTTTTAACAAGACTCTACTAGACATGTTTTAGTACGATAAGAATATTGGTAATAAGGATAACATATCTTAAAAGGAGATTCCCATTCAGATATTTGATCGTCAGGTTCGCAAGTTGAGAACAATTCAGTCAAAATCTTATCGAGAAATCTATTTGTTGAGGAGGCCACATGGGAGGTCGATAAACATATGAAGAAGAGATACCCACATTTCATTTCCTCTGATTTAGTTCCAGTCCAAGGTATTAACTCTTCCTAAAGTACTCATTCAATTCAGTCCTTCCTTCAGTGTTTTGAGTTTATGAGTGTATTTTACATTAAATTGGGTTGATAAACATTCCTTACCCTTTCCATGCTCAGTTCAACCATCATTCGAGGACGAATGATTCCAAGTGAGAGATATTGTAACACCCCAAAAAGTTCCAAGCTAAGTCCCAAACTATTCTTCATTTGCGTGTAAGGTTGTATTGTGTGATTCTTAAATTGTCCTTAGGTGTTAAGGTTAATTCTTTAGTGTGAGAATGAATTTGAATATAAATTAAGGTCACTAGAACCCCCTAGAACAAAATTGAGTTAAAAGCTTCCTTACCGATTAAGTTCTGACATAAGATTCTAATTAGGTAAACTTCAAACAATCATATCTCTCAACACAAAAAATTTAGGTGACCTATATCCTATCAAAATGAATGGTTATGAGTCCTCTTTCCAATTCCATCAAGTTTGCCTCATTTTGAGTTCGGAGTAAAAAGTTATGACCATCTTGCTAGAGGCTGCCACATCAAATTTTTTTTCTGTGAACTACAAAATCATTCTACTGCCGTAGATTAAACTATGACCCGTACTATCAAGTCGTAAGAAAATTTTATAGAGTCAGTTTGGTCCAATTCCTACAGATCCATACAGATAATGTCGCCATAGCTTAAGCACAAACACTATGGCTTCCAACTCTAAATCATGGGTAGGGTAGTTCCTCTTATGGGTCTTCAACTATCTAGAGGCATATGAAATCATCTTACCCTTCTGCATCCGAAAACCACCTAATCTAACTCCAGAATCATCACAATAGACAGTGAAGTCTACACTCTCCTCGGGTAAGGTCAAAAGAGGAGTTGAAGTCAACAAGGTCTTGAGCTTCTCAAAGCTCTTCTCACACTTATCAGACCATTGGAAGCTCACACTCTGCCGAGTCAATCTAGTCAAAGGAGATGCAATGGTAGAGCTCTAACTCTCTAAAATATTACAATGACTTCATAGTACAGGTCTTAACTAAATCTACATCCCATAGAATGATTTCGTAGTTCACAGACTCACAAAACTCTAATGTGACAGTCTCTGGTAAAATGAGCGAAACTTTTTACTCCAAACTCGAAATGAGGCAAACTTGGTGGTGTTGGAAATAGGACTCATATATTTTCCATTTAATAGGTATTGGGTCACCTAATTCAATTTTTGTTGAGAAATATGATCATTTAAAGTTAACCTAAGGAGAATCTTATGTCTAAAATTAATCGGTAAGGAAGCTTTCAACTCAACTTTGTGCTAGGATATTCTAGTGACCTTAATTCATATTCAAATCCATTCTCACACTAAATAATTGACCTTAACACCTAAGGACAATTTATTAATCACCTGATACAACCTTACACACAAATGAAGAATAGTTCAGGCCTTAGCTTGAAATTTTGCAGGGTGTTACATTTTCACTACGTGTTTCTCGCTTATTAAGCCCAAATGGGCGGATCATATTTTAAAATAAGGAAATATGAGTTTATATGGAAAATACAACATTTTCCGAGTTTTTATGACTTAAAATTATACAATACTTGGTTTATGAGTTTTAATGCATTTTGGGTTATTTCTACGCTAATACGTCTGAGATATCATTCCAGATAGCCCTTTGGCTTAGATCCAGTCTACAGTCTTCAACATGGTATGTTGTTGATATGTCCCATGTGTTATTTTGGGGGTCTTTTTCTTCCATCTAGGTTATATTCCACCGTCGCACTTGTTGATAAGTCTGAGGTATCATTCCAGGCCACTCGAGGTATCTTCTGAGCTTCTATTTCCCAACATTCATCTCTTGCATCGCATCATCCTAATGTTTGTTTTGTTTTGTGTGTTGTGATTGTCTTGTACTTCAGTTTTTCCTTATTCACTTTCTTGTGTTGTTATTTCCTTTTCCCTTGATTATTGGCTTTTGTTTCTTAGAACTTACCCATTGTACTGTTAGAAATATCGTGCTTCTCTTCATATGTTTGATCTTTCTGAGCTCGGTCGGCTCATGATGCCTACTGAGTATCTCGTGGTTTGGTAGTCATACTACTTTTCTACATCTTTTTCTAGCGCAAGTCCCAGTACGAGCCACCCCAATTGAGCATCAAATCTTTTGTGACTATCACAGATCGTGGTAAGCTCTTGCATTTAGAGACTTGTTGCTTTCTCTCTTTTGTACTGATTTGTATTTTGCATTTTCATTAGTTATTTATCCTATATATAATGTTTTTGTACTTAGTTGTTCCTGTGCCAATGGCACCAGGTCTGGAGATTTGGTTTTTGTGTTACTTTGTCGTTCTTGGTTTCTTTCAGGCCTCTTTTGTATATTGTGTACCGTATTTATTTTTCTATACTATGGTTCTATTTTGTATCTTTATTCCTTTTTTCGCTTTTCTTTATCGTTATATTCTTATCTTCTGTAAATTTTCATTTTTTCGCTTGCCTACTGAAGGGTTATTGTAAGCTTCATCACGGTCCGATTTCGGGTCATGACATAGACTTTGCTTAGTTTCTTTGTATATGATATGAGATGTATGATCTTAAACAATATCTTTGACTTCTCTTTTGTCGATAATCCCACTTACTCTAAAATAGAAAAAAATATTTATTGTGCATTAAGTGTAAAGTAAATGTGGATGCGCCGGGGTAGGTAGATACCCCTTTAAGTTTCTCTATATAATTTGCGAAATTGGTTCACTTTTCTTCATCTCAGCCTTTGATTTATAATTTCCTACCCACTAAACGTTTCTTTGATCATCTACTTTCTCCATTAGTCAACCCCCTCTTTGGATAATTTTCTCTCTCTCTCTCTGCTTTAGCAGAAAATAGTTTCTCTTATAAGCTCTTTTTTATTTTTTTGCATTTAACTAGATATCATTATATATAGATCTAAAATGGTGGATGATGATTGGGATGTAGGTGCGGTCGTAAGAAGTTGTAATATTAATAGACCTGACAATGTTGCAGCTCCTAAGTTAGACTTGGAGACTTCTTTAAATGATGTTTGGAATTCTTTTGATAAACTTTTTGCTCCTGACATGACTAATTTTAATGATTTATCTGAAATTTTCTCTTTAGATTTTCCAACTGCTCACCAGGAAAAACCAGATGATCAGGTCATAATCATGAACCAAAATGGTAACCAACAGTTGTACTTACATCCCATTCAACCAGCTCAATTTATCCAACAAAGCTCTTTTCATCCATCACCAACAACAGTAACGTGTGTTCCACCAATAACTACAACACCAAAAGAATGGATTGATCTACAACAACTCGATATAGGGGCTAACAATTATCCTAATTTCACTTTTTCCATGGAGACTCCTTTGATCCAAACTAGAACAAGGTAACCATTCACTTCGTTACATTTTATGTGTGTATGCTCAAAATTTTGATCTTAGTACTTTTGATTTGAAATCAGGAAAAATCAGTCGATAAGGATTACCTATGAATTATTTCAAGAGAAACTCATAAATGATATATGGACATGAAGCAAGTACGGTCAGAAGTATATCAAAGATTCACCATTTCCGAGGTTTGTTTTATTCATCTTTTTTCATGTCATAGAACGTTATGTTCCCTTTCGTTTTCAATTTTCATAATAATAAGTAGCAAAAATTATTAATGGTGTATATATATGTAATATTTGACTAAACCTGATTATTATGTGTATACCACATAACAGGAATTACTACAAGTGTAGTACATCAAAACTCTGTGAAGCAAGGAAAAATATTGAGAAAAGCCCAAATGATGAGAACATTTTCTTGGTGTCCTATTCAGGTGAACACAACCATGATCCACCCACGAACCGTAGAAATCTTGCTAGTTGCAACAGTAGTTCCAAATTCAAGCTTCCAAAAGGCATAAATATTTTTCCCAAAACATCAACCTTGAATGCATCATCCTCCTCGTCCAAGCGCATTAAGTGTTCAAGAGATGTTGCTTCTCCAATTATCGCAACTATGCCTCCGCTTGAATTTGGGAGCAAAAATAAAATGATTGTTGCGGCCGTAGAGGATAAAGGTGATGGTAAAGAAGAGGTGGACATGAATGAAGATATTTTCATGGGTTTTAAATAACTCCAAGGAGTTACTGCTTCCACCTAATAGAATAAAATGACAAGAGGAATTGATCTTTCTCCCATCTCTACCAACTCTATATGTCGACATATGTGGTCTTTTAGTCATGTTTCTATTTTAGTTTTTAGTGTGGGCAGTCAAGAATTATAGATTTGTAGTTTTCTATGCTTAACAATTTACATCATAGAAAAATGGACCTTTTTCAGTTTTGTTATTTTCTATTGTTCTTCAATTCAAGAATCTAGTCCTTGTTGTAAGTTGTTGTTCCGTTTTCTCAAATAGTTCTCTCTTTAGGAAGCCCCATTTGACTTAATTTTTACATTAAATTAATAGAGAGTAGTAAATTATCATTGTTCAATTTTAGAAGTTTTACACAGGCGCACACACTAAAGTTTATTTCATAGTCTTTTACAAACTTATTTTTAGTTTTATAACATTTTTATAAGAGATCTTCAATTTTTTCATAAATGAAGATCTCTTGTAAAACGAACATAAAATAATTGACCTATATATATATATGTGTGTGTGTAATAGATAGTTAGCACTTTGAACTGATCAGTTAATTCATTTGGGCATTTAAATAAAAGTCTATTTTGATACATTTTAATATACGATAAAGCATTCTTATTAAATATTCATAATTTCTATCCTTTAAAAAAATATATATGAATTTTCAAGCGTCATTATGTAAATAAATTAACCATATAGAGTATGATACCTCGTTTACTAATATGTATTAACTTCAATAAGTCATAAAAAACTTTAAATTTGTTCCAATTAAGACTCGTACGTATACACAAAAGGTTGTAGCATATTTTATGTTGTTAACTTATCTACATAATTAGTGACTGAGTACATGTGCAAAAAGAATTTTTAAAATACAAATCGAAAGTATCTAAAAAAAATATTTTATCATATATTCAAGTGCTTAACAGAAGGATACTATAATTAGAGTGTCTAATACATATTTCTTTAGCGGCCACACACCTTCGACCATAGCGCTCTTTGCCGGCGATGGCCATCCCGACCACTGGTCAGCCCACTCCTAAGGCTGGCCAGTCTACCATTTTAGCCTCCATGTTAGATTTCCATCCCCTCCCGGAAACATCAGTTTTGAACCGTAATCTGAAGAAGGATCCTCTTATGCATGTTGTGCCTAGTAATTTGTCTAGAAAGGAGAATGAAGACAATGCACCTTTGTCACCAAATTATGCAAATCTTTTCAAAGAAACGAGTCACAATCAGTATAAGATGCCTATAGTGGAATCGATCCCAATTAAGAAGCTCTGTTTGACTATTTTAACAATGGGGTTCCTAGAATTCAATGGACAGAAGAATACCATTGAAAATTTACAATATGCAGTTGTTGGCAAGTTTTCATATGGGTGGCCTGATTTGGATGACCTCCGTAATCAAATTCCTAAGCAGTGTATAGTGAAAGGGGACTGCAAAATCAGTTTACTGAGGAATAGGCATATTCACATTAGGTTTAACCTGGAAGAAGAGTTCATTAACATGATGTCAAAAAATGTTTTCTACATTCTGGATAAGGAAGGATACTCATTTCCCATGAGACCTCTTATATACGATGCTAAGTTCAAAGTTGATGAAGAGACGACTCAAGCCATAGCGTGGATTTCTTTCACGGACCTGAAACCTACTTATTTTGTTAAGGAATCACTTTTCTCGCTTGCATTGGCTGTTGGAAAACCCCTACATTTGGATATGGCTACCATTAACAAGACTAGACCTAGTTGCGCTAGGGTCAAGGTGCAAGTTGACCTATTGTCAGATTTTCCAAAGTTTGTCGAAATGGAGATAATAAACTCTACAACAAAGGAATCAAGAGTTGAGAGAATCAAAATTCAATATGATATGCTTTCTAAGTATTGCAAAGGATGTAAAATACAAGGGCATGAAGAGCAGGAGTGTAGGATACTACATCATGAACTGAGGAAGAATGATGCATCTAGTGAAACTAAAATAGACGAACCACAGGTGGAAAAACATTTAGCAAATGGAGGCCAAGGGGAGAAAGCAGGGGTTCAGATGATGCAGTGGAATCCCGTAAAAAGGAGATTTATTATAGAAAAGAATGCACATAACTACCTCAATGATAAGGCAATTTCACCTATTAAAAGTGCGAGTACAAGCAATACCTTTGCTGCATTATTGATTGATGAGCAAGTAGAGGACAATAATAAAGCATAAAAGGAGAACAAAAAAGAAAAGACAGCAGGAGCTGATGCAATGTTTAATTTAAATGAAAATTGTACGGAGAAAGTTTTACATCGACAGAGTATAACAAAGCAGAAAAAAGAGCATCATCATTCATCCACTAAAGAGTGGATAACAAAGGCCTTTGTACATCATCATAATAAGGAGAAGAGCACAAACAATGATAGTAATTCTATTGGGTTTAGCAAGGTGTGAATGGGAAATAAAAAGAGAAAATGGAAAGTGGAAGAACTAATGAAAGTGGGGGAACCAATTTTGGAGGGAAAATGAAAAGTCATCATTGCAAAAGTGCAAATGAAAGGTCATTTTTACCATATCGGTAGAAGAAAGGAAATTGTTGTCCTTATATTAGGAAACACTTCATTTAGTTCTTAAAGGGTTAAGAAGAAGGTGCCCCCTCGCGCCGTCGTCGTCGCTCGCTCGGCCTCAGCTTCGGCTTCGGCTTCGGCTTCGGCCTCAGCTTCGGCTTCGGCCTCAGCTTCGGCTTCGGCTTCGGCATCGACTTCGGCTTCGGCTTCGACTTCGGCTTCGGCTTCGGATTCAGATTCAGATTCGAATTCGGATTCGGATTCGGATTTGGATTTGGCAAATGATGTGATTGATTGATAATATTTTTGGATAAAATTTATTTAATCAATCTTGTTAAATCATTTCCTTTCTCTTATAAATTAATTCAGAATGTTAATTAAATAACAGAATTAATTTGGTGCAATTGAATTTATTTGAAATTCACGTGTAACGGTAATCCTTCCAAAAAGTCATTTCTTTTTCCAAACGGTATTCCTTCCGAAAAGTCATTACTTTTCCCAAAGGACACAATGTTCTGGAAAAAATGGGTCTGAACAGATTTTCTTAACAGACGTGTTGCTTGCTGCAAATGGCTATAAATAAGAGGTCTTTTTCGTTTTTTCAAACACTTAAATTTTTCCTCTCTGCATACATTTTCTTACATAAATAAAATTGTCGATCGACTGAGTCTGTGTGTGCTCTTGTTGCTGTTCTTGCGTTCGCTGAAGTTATTGAAGTTTGAGGTACCGCTACTCCTTTAACAGGTTAATCCATTTTATCTTGGGAGGAATTAATCTGCAACCTCGGGTACAGTGAGGGGATTAAATTTCTTAAGGAAACACAGTGGTTTCTGTAGACTCGGATTAAAAATCATTCTGTCAATTTCATCTTTTTTCTGTTTCTGTATTTTTGACTAACCTGAATACAGGAGATGACAATCTTAAGAAATTTACATAGTTTCTGTATTTGAGGTTTCTGGAGATTAAAACCTTTATGGTTTTCTACTCTGTTTGAATTTTTAAAATTCATTCGGTTAACGATTAAAAGAACATAAAAACTTTATCGTTAAATCAGAAACAGTCTGTGTATGGATTTATTCTTTACTGGTAGTATTTCACATACTAAATTGTCTGCCATTTGTGACAGAAAAATGACTAATTCAAGTCAAGTAAATGTTGGAACAGTAAGTGCTGCAACAACATCAGTTGCACACAATCGTTCAAATGCTGCCCTAGCACCGGCTGAGAAACCTGCAAAGTTTTCTGGAGTCGACTTCAAGAGATGGCAGCAAAAAATGTTCTTCTATCTGACTACGTTGAGTCTGCAGAGGTTCATTAATGAGAACGTTCATGTTAAGTTGGATGAAACTCCGCCTGAAGAACGATTCTTGGTAACAGAAGCATGGACACATTCTGATTTTTGGTGTAAAAATTATATTCTGAGTGGCCTGCAGGATGATCTGTACAATGTGTACAGTAATATGAAAATCTCAAAAAAACTCTGGGATGCTTTAGAAAAGAAGTACAAAACAGAGGATGCCGGAATGAAGAAGTTTATTGTGGCAAAGTTTCTGGACTATAAGATGATAGACAGTAAGACCGTCGTCACCCAAGTTCAAGAATTGCAGGTCATAATCCATGATCTCCTTGCTGAAGGTATAAATTTATTTAATACCTATGTTGGAAATATTAAGTTTATTCTTCATACTCACATAATCTTTAATGTAGGATTGGTTGTGAATGATGCGTTTCAAGTGGCTGCAATTATTGAGAAGTTACCTCCATTGTGGAAGGACTTCAAAAACTACTTGAAACATAAATGCAAGGAGATGACTGTTGAAGATCTCATGGTAAGGCTGAGAATCGAAGAGGATAACAAGGCCGCAGAAAAGAGATCGCGTGGTAATTCAGCAATATCTGGAGTAAATATTGTTGAAGAAGATCCCACAAAATCAAAGAAAAGAAAGAAAGCATCTGGTCCAAAGAGCAATCCTCCTAAGAAGAAATTCAATGGAAGCTGCTTCAACTGTGGCAAACGTGGTCATAAGGCTACTGAATGTAGGGGTCCCAAGAAGGACAAGAAGAAGGATCAAGCAAATTTGGCTGAATCCAAAGGAGAGATGGACGATCTTTGTGCAATGCTTTCAGAATGCAACTTGGTTGGAAATCCAAGAGAATGGTGGATAGATTCTGGTGCCTCATGCCATGTTTGTGCCAACAAAGAATTATTTTCATCATATACTCCAGCACCTACAGACGAGAAGTTGTTTATGGCAAATTCCGTTGTTGCAAAGGTGGAAGGAACTGGCAAGATCCTCCTAAAGATGACATCAGGCAAGGTGGTGACTTTGAACAGGGTCTCGTATGTTTCGGAATTGCGAAAGAACCTAGTTTCTATACCAGTTCTGACTAAGAATGGATTCAAATGTGTATTTGTCTCTGATAAAGTTATAGTAAGTAAGAATGAGATGTATG